AGCTCCTGGGGTGGAGTCCTTTTCCTGTCCGGCATTCCTGCAGACGTTTGCCACTCGCTCTTTGACATATCGCATCCTCCTGACACGCCGGGCGAGACCCGGGCAAACTGGCGCCCCCACACAGCGAAAGAAAAGGCCTCGTAAGATAATGAGGAGGCGCCTCAGGATGCATGGCCCAAGCGCACCGTACCGTAGCTCTGTGGACAGCCTTTGGGGGACCTTTGGGCCTGGGTGTGTGCTAGTGACTCGCTTGGCCATGCGCAATTGCACCACACTCACGCAGCACCCCTTCAGGCGGCTAAGAGAAATTAACCTGTAACACTGGGAAGAACGCTGCTCATACCTCAGCACCACAGGCAAAAGTATCTAAAGCCCACTCAGCGTCGTCCATGAGCCCTGTCTATTGTGGGTGTCTTGTTTATATTCCATCTATTATGATCATTCTGGTGGCTGGGGACACCATGAAAAAAGTACGCGCTGCATTACAGCAATATCAGGGCTGTGTCTCTAGCCGCTCTGAAGTTGACTTCATTGAAATGAAGGCTTCCGAAGCACACCGTTTTACTCTCAACCGCCTGGTTCTCCGCGTATATGCTTTCAAAACCGTCGGCGCATTGACGATAAACACCCAAAGCTACTCTGAGTTGAGCTCAATCGATACTCAGAACCACTAAAAAGCGCAAGGGATATGATCAAGTCTATGCTGATCCGTCTATTGAAACTCGATGTTTTGTCGAGTCCCTGATGGTGTCACTCAGATCTTGAAGCCGCCGTGTCTCTCGAATCTCCTCAAGGTCACACAGCCTGCGCAATCACCGGGTTGCGCTACACCTATGCTCTGGAGGAAACACATCCGCTTCCATATCACATAACCTTCGTCCCACGTTACGCGGAACATTATCCCAAATCCCAAGTAGAAATCTTGCTGAAGTACCTCCATTGCCGTGTGTATGCCTTTTCCCCTGATGCCCTATAGGCAAAGTGATGGAACTCTTCCGGAAGCACAATTTAGAGGTGAACAACCTTAACTTATCACATCAATACACATCTCAAAACCATGTCAGTGGGTACAATTTGGATGCTACCCTCTTGATGGTCTGGATGCTAGCATCTACAGGAAAGCAAGGCACAGCATCTGTACAAAACGTGTGAATCCCTTCAAAACTGTGTAACTTAACTTGCAGTGGAATGGTTCTGTCAAGGTAAAGGAACGCTCAAGAGGCCTCAACGTGCCCCTCAGAGCCGTAGTTATTATGTCCTTTTTTTTGTAGAGAGAAAGAATTGGAAAGTGGAGAATGTCTCTGTGTCAGTTATATAGAGGGGAGGGACGTGTTGAGGAGACTTTATGAGTCTGAGGCTCTACAAAAGCACAGGGCAGTAGTTTACAGGCTGGCTCATAGATGTGGCCTAGAGTATGCTTTTCTGTGTTGAGTGCTGATTGGAATACAAATCTTAGGTCTCTGGACTATGCCATGAAGAGCGTCACGCTCCATGTGGGGCACGAGGTATGTTCGTCGGTCATGTCTTGGTATCTTTCACGATCCTGGCTCTTTCCTTTCTGAATTTTTTTCTCCTAAGATAGACTAAGCTACTAATCGCTGTTTCACTACTATACACTACACACAGCTGTGTTCAATCTACAATGTTCGAATCACACAAAAAATTTCGTCATATGGCGTCGCCTAGCTCTACCGGTTCAGGTTTTACCATGGCATTGACTTGCATCCTAATTTTCCTGTGCGTCACGGCATTCTCTGGCGGGACGGCCCGCGCATCACTTAACACAGGAAATGAACCATCCATCAAAATACTCAATCTCTTGATGACGGACCAAACGGATTACCAAATCCTTGCGGATGCGGTGTGGTCAGGAGTAAATGCAGCCCTCCACAGCATCAATTTTGAAGGCGCCAATAGGCGAAAAATTGAATTTATTAATATAACCAAAGCCGAGCTCTCTAATTTACCACTCGCAATCGAGACGAAGCTGCAACAGCATCCTGACTTACTCGCCATTCTTGGCCCATTTTCCGACAAAGACACTGCTGATGTGTTGGCAAGTAGCATTGTCAAAACATCTAACCTTGTCTGTCTAGCGCCTTTTGGTTCATCCATTAATTTACGCAAATGGACACCAAACGCCTTTTTCACGCGAGCCGGACCTACTGCTGAGATAGTATTGCTTTCCAGATACATCGTAACTATGCTTCTAGTGAAGCGTGTAGGCATCATGTATTTCACTGACGTAGACTAC